TGCGACTCGTGCTCCAGGACATGAGGGCTGGCCCTCCATCTCCAGGCATCCTCCTGCCCGACCTCAGACCCACAGGGGTGGCAGCTCGCCTCCCGTGAGGGCTCCCTACGCCCAGGTTCTGTGCCGAGCACTTGGGCATCACAAGGTAGGCTGAGACAAACATCATCAGCCCAGGACAAGGATGGAGAGCCAGACTGGGAACTGCTGTTGTCTCTCCTGGCAGGGTCCTGGCACAGCCTGTGGCTCCCGCTCTCCCGGGCCCTGTGGCCCGGCAGCTCTCGTGCATGAGATACGGAGAGGCCATGGCCCAACGGGCCAGGCCTGAGCGCTTCACAAGCTGTGGGAGCCCCCCTCCACTGGCCGCGCTGGGAGAAGCCAGGGTGGACCAACATCGCCTCTGGCTGGCCCAGGCCATCTTCCAGGTGCAGCCAATCTGTGCGAAGGCACCGAAGCTTTGAGCAAGACCAGAAGCAGGTTCCTCGGTTGATGGAGCAGGCCCTCTGGTCTCCCCGGGGGGCAGTGGCAACCAAGGCTAATTAACTCTTGGACCGATCAAGCGCCCCTCAGGCATGAAACCGGCGATGGAGAAAAGGAAGGAAGAGAGTGGGCTGCAGGGGGAGGTGATGTCACCGTGTATGAAAGACCTACTTGAACTCGGACGAGCCATTGTTAGGCAAATCTTGGTTTGTGTGGAGATTGGAGACTTCAGTCCACAGCACAGCCGGGAAAACAATCGGTTCTGGACGATCCAGAGAGGTGGCATCAGGTTTTCTGTGTTGCGCTAACAATTGAGACGGACTTTAGAAAAATCACAAAACAAACAGAAACAATCAGAAAACACTCATCTTTCTACAAATACACACACACACACACACACACACACACGGGCTTCCCAGGTGGGGCTAGTGGTAAAGAACAGGCCTGCCAATTCAGGAGCTATAAAGTGTGGGTTTGATCCCTGGGTCAGAAAGATCCCCTAGAGGAGGGCACAGCTACCCACTCCAGTATTCCTGCCTGGGAATCCCCATGGACAGAGGAGACTGATGGGTGGCAGTTCAGTGGGTCACAAAGAGTCAGCCACAACTGAAGCAACTTAGCATGCATATACACATACACATATATACAAAAGAATACCCTTAACAAAAATCGTCAGTAGCAATTTTCATGGTGTTCACACAAACACCGTCTAAACTGGCTATTTACACAGTGTACTCTCAAGCACTCTGAGGTGCCTAGAATAGTGGATTACAAAGCATGGTTCCCAGACAAGCATCATCCTGAGATCTCATCAGAAAGGTAAAGTCATAGGCTCCACTCCAGACCCACTGAACCAGGAACTCTTCAGGCTGGGCCCCCATCAGTCTCTGGGTAATTCTGATGAACACTTAAGTCTGAGAACCACAGCCTTAGAGGGTTAGGAAGGAGTTAGATGGGAGAATTCATTTGAAAAACAGGTTCTGATACTTTTTAAAAGGTACGAGAGCCATTGGCTTGACTTTCAGACAAAATACAGTTTCTCTGAGAATGTATATTCTGAGAACTTAACGAGGCCGGAAAGATATGTACCATAACAACAAACGGGATTAAGATGAGATCACGTCAAAGAAATCTGTGGGTCTTAAAGCACATTGACTAAATCTTTATCTATCCCTGAGGAGTTAGACAGGGATAGCAAAGACAAAGCACAGTAAAGGCAATATTCAGATCCATGACATCAAAAGGGTAACTGACACATCTGACTTTTACCTAGTGGAAGAACGCAAATTGTTGGAAGAACTCAGGGTTAAAGGTCTGTAGGTATAGGAAAAATAGAAAAATAACACATTTCCCAATATTTTACAATCCCTTTGGAGGACAACTTATCAAAATTACAAATGCACTTTCCCTTTGACCTAGCAATCCTGTCTGGACATTTTTACAACTCACAAAAGTGAGACTTGCACACATCCAACATGACATATCTATAGGGTTGTTCTTTATAGACTATTGTAATTAATAGGAAGAGACTAGAACAACCTACATGACCATCTGCAGCGGATGAGTTCAATAAACAAGGGCACATTCACAATGCACAGCATGGTTGCTGTCAAAAAAGAATGCATGTAAGATTCTACCTGTATGACATTCTAGAGGGCAAAGAGGACTTATTTGCATGTGTTAAAAAAAAATAAATGGAAGAATTCCCAAGACATTAGTAACAAGAATGAGGATGAGAATCAGGATGTATGGAGACAAAAGTGGAAGCAAGGATTTTCAGTAGATGTGTTTCTATGCTATTTGCATTGTCAGTGCTCTCTGGCGAAAGTCTAGGAACACACCTGTAGCTGAGCAAGTACAAGGAGCGAGAAGCTCACGGTGAGGAGCTGCAGGGATATTGGTGCCATATTGGTGACCTTGGTGGTGGTGGCTTAGTCGATAAGTAATGTGTCTTTTGCAACCCCATGGACAGTAGCCTGCCAGGCCCCTCTCTCCATGCGACTTCCTGGCAGGAATACTAGAGTGGGTTGCCATTTCCTCCTCCAGGCGATCTTTCCAACATAGGGATCGAACTCGCATCTCCTGCATTGCAGGCAGATTCTTTACCAGTGAGTCGCCAGGGAAGCCCATCTTGACGAAGTTAGGACAAAAGGGTTTGGGCTTGTGTTGGGTAAGGCTAGGGAGAGTCATGGAAGGAGGCTCTGATCTACGCTGGATGTTGTCTGGGAAAAGTTTCCTTTTATTGGATATTTCAGTGATCTAAAGAGGAAGGAGTGAAGTAAAGCTTGAGCTGGGATTGGTCAAGAGGCAACAGGCCCTCCTATCAGCCAAGATAGGAGGGTGTTTTGTCACTTTTGTGGTTTAGAGAAAGTTCTTGCTTATATCTGGTTTCGACCTAATTATGAAATTGTCTTATTTTTGTCCTGATTGATCATGATTACAGCTAGCCTTGTTTGATGTTCGTGTCCTGCGAAATTATTTACATTCAACAGGCCTATCAGATAGTAGCAGGTCAAAAGCTGGAAGCAAACCAAAGGCCTATCAATTTATAAACGGATAAACAAACTATGGTTCATCCATAACAGACATAGCTCATCACTGGATGTGTTTCATCCAGGGAACTACTATTCAGCCTTGTAATTAAAAACTACAAGTTTAGCTTAACTAAAACTGTAAGTTTTAGTTTTATAGTTAAAACTTCAAAAGGTACTAAAAAGCTGGAGTATTTCAAACTGCTGCTGATTGTCAACTGAAAATTAGATAAAATTCTAAGTTGTGATAATAAAAAACACTTATAAGACAAAAAATCATGAGTTTTTTTTAATGAATGTAGGAATTGTTTTGCTAAATTTTCCATTAATTTACAAGATATTCTCCAAGTGGCTCAGAGGTTAAAGTGACTGCCTGCAATGCAAGAGACCAGGGTTCGATCCCTGGGTCAGGAAGATCCCCTGGAGAGGGAAATGGCCACCCACTCCAGTATTCTTGCCTGGAGAATCCCATGGATGGAGGAGCCTGGTGGGCTACAGTCCACGGGGTCGCAAAAGAGTTGGACAAAACTTATCGATGGAGCATGCACACAGCCCAGACCCCTCCCCTTATCCTCACCTTCTCCATTCCAGTTGAGCTATAAGAGGCACTGTATTTTTTCTGCAAAGGGTTTGGGGAAAATCAGCCTCAAGTCACTGATTCACCAGATGTGAAGGAAAACAGAGGTGGGGAATGCCCTGGCTGGCTCCCTATTGTATTCCCAGAAGGCCGCCCAGTGCCTGAGCAACCGCTGGGGTGTGACCACTTGTGAACAAAGTGGATGGGTGGAAGGATGGAAGGATGCGTGGACAGAGGGAGGTAAGAGTGAGACCTACAAGCAGGCAGAGAGCTTCCACTGTGATTAAACTCTGAAACATCTTCTTACATTTGGATTATAGGCTAAATACAGAGATTACAGACTAAATTACAGAGGTGACTCAACAGAGGAGGTTAAAAAAATCGTAACAGCAAAAACAAAGCAACTCAGAATGCTAGTGTTTTGCTGTCGTTGTCGTTGCTTGTTTTTCTATTTTTTGGTGGGATCTTAGTTCCCCAACCGAGGATTGAACCTGTGTCCCTGCAGTGGAAGCTCAGAGTCTTAACTGCTGGACTGCCAGGGAACTCCCAGAATACTAGTGGTTTTAATGGAGATGCAAGCCTTCGCTGACGGGATCCAAGAATGAGATTCTGTACATAAGTTGGGACATCTGTCAGTCACAGTTACTCCCTTGAATCCAATGAGGTCCCAGCTTCCTCCATAGTCTGGACCATGGGGAGACAGACTAAACAATTTGGGAGACTTCTGTCCGTAAATCATGAAGGGTAAACAATGACTTACTCACTAAAACCCCCAAACATTCAAATAGGAAGCACACACTGAAGTTTCAGGAGATAATTTCAAGGAAAATAAAAGTACCCGTGGGTGGTAAGTTTAAGGATTAACTGCTATTCTGTCACATGAACCACCCCAAGATAGAGATAAGAACAACAGTCTGCAACAGTGCCATCAAGAGGAATATAACATGAACCACCTACATCATTTAAAATGTCTAGTGGCCACATTTAAAAAGTCAAACAAATACAACAAACTAGTGAGTACAACAAAAAAGCAGCAGACTCACAGATACAGAGAGCAAACTAGCAGTTACCAGCGGGGAGAGGGGCAGGGTGGGGCCATAAAGGGCTGGGGGATAAGAGGTGCAAGTTATTTATGTNCGGACCCCGGAACCGGCCGAGGCCATTGATCCGCGCATGCGCGCCGCAGTGGGCCGGCCCCCCGCGCTCGCCCCGGGAGCCCCCCCAACGGCGCCCACCGGGGCCCTGTGCTCGATCGCGACCCACGGAGCGGGAGTCCAGGGGAGGCGGCGGAGAGCACGGCCAGGCCCCGGCGCCCACGCACCTGCAGGAGGCGGGGACCGCGGCGGATCCCCGGCGCGGGGGCGGGACAACCAGACTGGGGGCGGAGCTGCTCCAGCCACCGGCCCCGGGCTGCAGCGGCCCCTGCCGGCAGCTCACACCTGGTCCGGCTCCCGGGCCCTGGAGGCCCTTCCCTGGGCCTGCTCGTCGCACAAGGTTTTCTTTGCATTGCTTTCTTTAGGGGGATGGCCCGGCGCGGGGAGGAGGGCTGGGGGGGCGGGCTGTTGCTTCGTCTTTGTGAGCTTCCCAGACGTGTCGTGAAAGACAGACGAGCTGCTTTCTTCCTTGAGCCTGCAGCTGGACCGCACTACTTGGCCACAGAGCATGTGAAATATTGGGGCGGCTTTCTCTGAAAAGCTATTTCCAATGAAGGTTAGCGGGGGTTCCCAGGCCAGCCCACCAATGACGTGCGCTGATGCTGAGATCCTTACCCAGCGTCGAAAGGGACCAGTTTCCAAGCCTCGCGTACTCTGTGATCTCCGTGGCTCCGCGTGTCGGGTCGCCCTTAAAAGCAGTCATCTTTCTTTGTCTTTGATTCAGTCTTACCACCAGAACTAATTTTCAGAGAATAGAATTGTTTCTGGACTGGCCAGTAATCCTAAAGGGAGGTGGTCTGAGAATTTGGGTGCATAGAATGTGATGTTAGCATTTGTTTTTCCATCTCTGACCTCATCCATCCCCCTCAGTTTGGCTGGAAGTCCTCACCGCTTTGGAACCCCTCTTGCCCCCGCAGGTTGTATCAGTTTTCAGGGCCCTCTGGAGTCCAAGAAAATTGGAGAAGGGTCTTATGTCTGACTGCTACTTTTTCTGTGACATGTATATGGCACTTTGTACCAGACACCTCTAAGATCTTCACATGTCTTAACCAGCTAAAATCTTCCCCATCCAATAAAAGATATACAGTTATTCCGACTTTGCAGATAGGGAAACTGAGGCACAAGGAGGTCAAGTAACTACTCAAGATAGGCTGTTGAATAGCAGAGCTGGGGTTTAAGCCTAAATGCTTTGGCTCCAGCCACAGGGTCTGCGCCACTGTATCTTAATGTACTGCGTCTCATTAACATGTTAAGCTGCTTTTTGTGGTTTTGATGTTAGTCATCGGGTGTCAATCTTTGTCTTCATTCAGACACTGCGGGGGGGGGGGGGCACACTGTGGGGGAGACCCCGTGCCCCTCACTGCAACCTTCCATGGCACCAGCCACAGGGTGGATCCCTCCTGGGACATCACATTCTATCAGGGCCTAAGGGTCACCACCCACAGCTACCCACTGCATACGCCTTAACCACATACCTTCTTCCAGGCTTAGGAAAGCTGACTCTTCTGCCAATATCAGGCTACTTTCTTTTCTTGAAACATCAACCACTATCCTTTCCATCCTTAGAGCAACTCAAGCTTAATTTCTTGATGGTCTTGTCCTTCCAAACCAAAGACTGGTCCCTGTTTCTGGAATATTCATTTTTCATTCCCTCAGTAGTAGTGCTGCAGGGAAAAATTATTTCTTACTCCAAGCTGAGACTGTTTCTTTGATTTGCTTTTTGTTACTTTTGTAATTGTAATTATACATAATGGCCTGCCTCAGAGAATCCTGCCTCTCTACCTGACTGTAAACTAAAGTGCCTTTGTTCAGAACCCTGTCCACCTGTAGACTGCAGGATGGAAGAAATCAATACGTCCCCTGCCTGAGGTTTGCCATTCTAGGAGATATTTGCTAGATTAATGGCCTTTCTACTTTGTTCACTCATCCCCCCTCCTCTCTGATCCATAAAAATATCTGGCATCCAGACCCCATAAAGATGATTATTTTGAAACATTAGTCTACCATCTTCTCGGTCAGCTGAATAAAGTTGTAATTGCTTGCCTCGACACCTCCTCTCCAATCCATTGGCCTTGGACTCAGTAACAGGAACTCCTTTCTCATCTTTCCAGCCTGAGTTCAGACATCACTTCCTCAAGGAGCCTTCTCTGACCCCATCTCCCCCAGTCTCCGCTCTTAAAGCAGGCTCTTAAAGCACCATAGCAGTTATCCCAATGAAGACTTCAAATGTATCTCTGTTCATTTGATTAAATTTTATCTGCCCACCAGGCTGTGAGTTTCCCTGAAGATGACACTTTTGTCTCGATGTGCTAACAGTGATATTTCCAGTCCCTCACAGTGCCTGATAGGAGATGCTCAATTTATGAATTCATTTAATATGTATTAAATAAAAGAATAAGCAACCTCACAGGAAAAGCAGCCCAGAACTGAGAGGATAACAGCTTGGCTATCTTTACCAAAATGAAGAAAACAAATCAATTTTCTTCCGTGCTGCTTATGGGTCCCTAGCAGGACAAAACAATTAAAAAAAATAAAGAAGCAAAAAAGTTTATTAATAACTCACCCTATCTACAGAGGGTCTCCTGGCATAACCAGGTAGGAGATGTAAGAGTTAAGGAGCGCATATACTGGGAGTTGGTACTGCCGCCTTCCTTTAGTAAAATGCAGACAGGCCAAGCTTTACTTCTGGAAAGACAGTCTCCCCCAACCCTGACTTTTCCCATCCTCTTGGGGCCACTCGCTTTGCTGGCTGTCATGCTGCCCCCCAGGGGTGGACTGTCCTCTTTAAGCCTCTGATACAAATATCAACTTGGACATAAACCCCTAGGCTTGATGTCTTTCACTGATAGATTTTGACACACTAGGAGAAGTTTTAACTTTCTAAGGGAGAATAAGAAGAAAATAAGAATCAAGATCACAAAACTGCAAGACGCACAACACAATCCAGAAATTGTGCAAAAGCCCAGCCCCACTCAGTTCTATTCTATTTCCCAGCTCCAACTTGTTTCCATGAGACCACCATGCCAAGGTAACATCATCGCCACATGGCCATTCCCAACAACATGTTGGGTCCTTCTTGGAGGAAGGCAAGAGACCAAGCCCTCTGCACAGCCCCTCCAGTTCTTTGGGTTCCAGTATGAGTCCTGAGCGGGTAGCTAACACCAAGTGTGATCCTGCCCTAAGAGGGATCCATGCACACAGCACTGCGGCTTGTGGCTGTCACCCCCTACAGCGGATCAGTGCGTCTGCACAGGATATGACTGCATCTATTACAGCGAGCAAGCACGCAGCTCAGGCTGAAGAAGTAACATTGACGGGAGGCACTGAACTGAGTGGTGGTGGACAGGAAATGGGGTTGCAGGTGTTTGCAGGCTCTGCGGTAAGGAATCCAAGGTAGTGAGACCAAGGCTGCATCAGACAGTCTGGAGCAATGAGGACAGTCTTTCAGGGCTGGATGGTGGGCTGTGGAGGAGCTCATACCTGTATTCTTAACACCTGAGAGTCTCGTCCTTTCTTTTCATGTTTAAAACATCCAACATATTGTTGATTTTTTGGTGGGTGCAATAACTTTTATCTTTCTAAAGAAATCGAAAGAGTGACCACACTCATGAAAGAGAATTTCCCCATTGTGTCTTTTCCTTTCCACCTTTATCTTAAGATATAGCTCTCCTTTCATGCCTCCATCCATCCTCAGTTAGATGTCTGAATTCTCCATACTTACGAGTGTTTACTGCCTAATGGAAGGCCGTTCACACTTGTTGAATAGGGGGAGGAAAGAGTTGAGTGGAGAAGGTCTGTGCTTGTGAGGACATCTCTCTTCTGAGACCCCTCCACATTGCTACTTGGCCTTCTGATTCGTTCTTTGTATCACTTCTTCGGTTTTCAAAGTCGTGTAGATGCCTCTGCCTGCCACGCCTCCGTCCTGTGGTTGTCCTTTGACAGTGGATACCATCTCTTTCAAGTGTTGTCTTAAACTGGCCTCTTTTGGTCTAGAGATGCTTCACATTCCAGCACAGGAAATTCTCCAAATTTACTTCACAAGTATTTACTACACATCAAAACACTAAGATGCTTGACAAGTTCTTCACTTGTCTACCCATCTCTTCTTCCACATGCTCCACTACAGTTTCTAGACAAACCTTTGTATGCTCCAAACCTGTTAGCATTTTCTGCTCTGACATGTTTAAGAGTAAAAGCTTTGCATTCTACCTAAAAAACCAAAGGCAATGAGGAGACCCCAGACTGTGTGGCACAGCAAAAAGACTTTGGGTCACACCAGATTGTTACAGAAAAGCCACGGGGAAATAAGTAGAAGCAAAGTTTACAAGTGTCCATTACTTTGATGTAATTTCCCTTTGGCAAAAACTTTGTGGTGGAAAAGGGTTAGCTATCTTCTTTTGTTTAAATGTCACAGAATACCAAAACGGCCCCTAAGTGGTTCATTTCCTTTTTGGCAACTGGCTTTCATGCTTCGCTTATGCTATTCATATATTATAACGAGAGGGATTTTTATAGTGTTTTATACGTTCTGGGTGCTCTCCAATCATTAATAAGTTATTCCTTCCTGAATCTTCAGGTCAATGTTAACATCTTCCGTTTTAAGAGCTGGATGTACATCTCTACATCTCCACCTGGATGCAGAGGTTAAGTGCCTGGCCCAAGGTCCGGGGGTGAGGCACTGTCAAACCTGGGACTGTGTAATTTAATAGAAAAAGAATCCAACACTGTATCATTCACCAGAAGAAGGCTACACTTAACCCAGGCCACTTTAACAGTCAAAGGAGAGATGAATTAAGCGCTGAGATGGTTTGTTTCAAAGCTTGCTTAGGGGAGAACCAGCCAGGGAAGGGTCAGTTACTTTGCTGTGATAGGACTTCTAAATAAATCCAGTTCAGCGCCTTGACCGCAGACACTAGAACGGTCACTTGTGATGTCTCTCCCTATGTTTTTATATATTCACAGTCATGTTCTAAAATGACCTTCTGAGGGATTGATGGAAGAGGTGATTTAGATCCAAGGTCACTAAAATTGACAATAAAAGAAGGAATTTTAGCTTTATGTAGTAGTCATTTCTTAAAAGCTATGGGTAGCTGATATTCTATTTATTTTTTCTTACTAGTAGGGTCAATTTAAAATATATTTGGCAAGAATACTGTACTTTTTTGTAGGACTTTTCAGCAAGGGAAGGTTAAAAGCACTAAAAAGAATCCTCAGGCGTCGCCAGGCAAAATCGATAGTTGCTTCTTCTGGGTTTCAGCATCAGAGATTGCCTGTCTTCCAATTTCCCTTCTTACATTCCTCTGAGAGGCCAAAGGAAAGCTCTAGAAGTGAATTCAAACTCGGTTTCCTTGACTTTCCAGAGATCCCTATAATTGAGCAATTGTGATTTAGTGAGAGAATCTAAGAAAATGGATTCATTCTTCAGTCTCAGTAGAAAAAGCTTCTGCCTAAACTAATTTCTTTGTTCACTCTTGCCTTCTGTCCTCGCAGGTACCTATGGATTTTCTCAGCTCTTCACTGTGAGTTATTTGTGAAGCAACATGAAGCAGTTTTTCTAGAGAAAGCAAGTATACAGCTCTTTGATCCAGAGCAGGTGGAAACGGAGCCTGATGAGTGAATCACGGGGACCAGGAGGCTGGAAGAGGGAGATCGGGCAGACTCAGGTCACACGTCCCCCTATGGCCCAGAGAGGCGGATCAGCCCGTCTGAGTCACATGTACTAAATGAGAATAGAGGAGGATGACCACCAGGAGAAAATGAAGATGCTATCAAGGGAGAATGAGATGCTGGGCAGATAAAAGCAACAGGTGGCACTACAGAAATCCATTTTACATACGAGGAAAATAAGGCTCAGAATGTTTAAGAAACTCAGTTAAGGCCATGTAAGTAGTGGTTCATCCAGGCTTCAAATAGCTCTGATTAAAGGGTAAGAGTCTAAGCTTTGGAATCAGACATATTGGCTATGTGGTCTTGGTTAAGTTACTTAATTTCTCTGAGCCTTTTTTTTTTTTTTTTTTCATTTGTAAAGTGGGAATAATAATACATGTTTCATGAAATTAAATAACACATAAAGAATTTGTCAGGGCACTTTGTACACAGAAAGCTGGTAATAATAGTACTGGTTACAATGTTATTACTAGCATTAATTTTGGCCTATCTTCAGAGCCCATAACTATCACAAAATATGAGTAAAGTTTTACAAGAGTCATTAGTAAACTTAGAAATGTATAACTACCAATGTTTTAGGATTCCAAGACTTTAAAAATACAGGTTAGAAGTTTAATTAATTCTGATTGCTTGCTTTCTCCTGTTTTCTTGTGACCATCTTCTGGTGAAACTATTGCATATCTTTTTCCTAATTCCACTTTGATACCTTTTAAAAAATAGGATCTTACTGTTCTGTTCATAAGCAGCCATAACCCCAGAGTGAAGGCACTCATCTCTTCTTGGCTTTTGCTGGGGATCTCTTTCACCTGTGAGCAAGATTTCTGCACAGCTTCTAAGCTTGTTCAGGCTTCCCAGGTGGCTCAGTGGTAAAGAATCTGCTTGCCAGTGTTGGAGATGTGGGTTGGCTCCCTGGGTCTGGAAGATCCCTAGAGAAGGAAATGGAAACCCACTCCAGTATTCTTGCCAGGGAAATTCCATGGACAGAGCAGCCTGGCGGGCTCCAGTCCATGGGCTCATGACGAGTTGGACCTGACTTAGCGACTAAACAGCAAAAAGGTTTTCAGACATTGGAAAGAGAAACTTCTGATGATTTAAAATCCAAACCACAGCTCATCCATTTTGAAGTAAAACAACGGATGTCAGTCAAGACCCTTCTCTTTTCCAATCTGTAGCTCTTTTATTGCAAAATAGTAGTGATAACCTCCACCATCTGACTGTGCTGTGCTGTGCTTAGTCGCTCAGTCGTGTCTGACTCTTTGTGACTGCAAGAACTGTGGCCAAGCTCCTCTGTCCATGGGGATTCTCCAGGCAAGAATATTGGAGTGGGTTGCCATGCCTTCCTCCAGGGGATCTTCCCAATGCAGTGATCAAGCCCAGGTCTCCCACATTGCGGGTGGGTTCTTTATCATCTGAGCCACCAGGGAAGCCCATCAGACTACCCAAATATAAAGTGACACAGAAGCAAAGGTTATGACATGATCATTTTTATTAGTATGATTTTTTTTCTTGAGGATTTCTTTTTTCTGGGGAATGCATGCCAGTCTCAGAATATATTTTAATCATTTTGAGAGTTACATAGAGTCATTAGGACACTCTTTATTATAACATCTTGCATCCATGACACATACTTTCACTACTTATGACAATCTGTTATTGTTGAAACTGGCTAAACTTCAATTTAATGCCAGCTTGTGAGCCAGACATCCTGGAATGTGAAGTAAAGTGGGCCTTAGGAAGCATCACTATGAACAAAGCTAGTGGAGGTGATGGAATTCCAGTTGAGCCATTTCAAATCCTAAAAGATGATGCTGTGAAAGTGCTGCACTCAACATGCCAGCAAATTTGGAAAACTCAGCATTGGCCACAGGACTGGAAAAGTTCAGTTTTCATTCCAATCCCAAAGAAAGGCAATGCCAAAGAATGCTCAAACTACCACGCAATTGCATTCATCTCACACACTAGTAGAGTAATGCTCAAAATTCTCCAAGCCAGGCTTTAACAGTACATGAACCGTGAACTTCCAGATGTTCAAACTGGTTTTAGAAAAGGCAGAGGAACCAGAGATCAAATTGCCAACATCTGCTGGATCATNGAGTGCGGAAGAAATGATGCTTTTGAACTGTGGTGTTGGAGAAGCCTCTTGAGAGTCCCTTGGACTGCAAGGAGACCCAGCCAGTCCATCCTAAAGGAAGTCAGTCCTGAATATTCATTGGAAGGACTGATATTGAAACTGAAACTCGAACACTTTGGCCACCTGTTGCGAAGAACTGACTCATTGGAAAAGACCCTGATGCTGGGAAAGATTGAAGGCAGGAGAAGAAGGGGATGACAGAGGATGAGATGGCTGGATGGCATCGCCGACTTGATGGACATGAGTTTGGGTAACCTCTGGGAGTTGGTGATGGACAGGGAGGCCTGGTGTGCTGCCATCCATGGGGTCGCAAAGAGTCAGACACAACTGAGCGACTGAACTGAACTGAACTGTGCGTCACAGTTAGTGATTGTTCATGCCTGGCTTTCTTGGACCTGAGGGCTCAGCTCTATCCCCAGCCAGCCCTGCTCCTTCTGGCCTTATATCTTTGACTCAGCCTGCAACTATAAGAGGCAGGAAAAGGTGCTTAAGGACCGTCTACACCACCTCGCTGGGTGAGCCAAACTGCCAATGAAAGTGCTAGCGGCTCTCAGCCCACCCCTGAAGCTGTGGGGCAGGGGTGACCCAAAGACACAGACTTTTCTGTCTCAGCTTGGAGAGTATGCTTCAAGAGGGCCAGGAGCTCCTGGAAAGAAGAGACGCAGAGATACAAGGGGTTTAAAAAAAAAGTTATTAGCTCGTTTAACTTGGAGAAAGGAAGCTTGAGAACAGTTCTGATTTGTGATGTTAAATATCAACTTTAACCCAGAAATATTTATCAAGAGCCCACCACACAACTGGGCTGGTGCTACCCACGAGGAATCCTTGCCTGAAACAATGTCCTGCTTGTTCTGTCTCCTCTGAGGATGGAACAAAGCAAACAGATCTGTGTAGAAGAAGAGTTTCAAAGTAGCTGTAATGGAGACTTTTTGACATCACATAATGCCCGTCCATTAAATCCAGGCTGGCTTGCCAGGGGGATGGCGAAGCCCGGAGCATGCCTGGGGCTGGCTTGCATGAATCAGTTCTGGCTGGTTTGAGATGTAAAGTTTACAGCAATTAATTGTCCAAGTAAGGCTGGGGTTGAGATAGGATGATGTTGTTTTTCTCTCTGTGTTATTTTGAAAGTTCATTTTTATAAATACTACTGAGAAACCTCTCAGAAATATTAAAAACAGGTTACTTGGAGAAAAGAGAAGTGAGTAGCTAAACTTTACATGAAGGATGTTACAATGGAAAACACCCAGCGGTTTAAATAAACATTTTCAAGTGTTATGAAAAAGGTATTCAAATGTTAAAGGAAATACCAATCTGAGGACAATATTAAGACTATGACCAATGACAAAATATTTGCTGTCTAATTGTTCATTGCAATTGGTTAAAAAAACATTAAAACCAATAGATAACTGGATTAAAAATTCATTAAAATGGTTTATATTTGGCCAACAAATGAATGAAAAAAAAATTTTGACCTGATTCCTTATAAAGCAAAATTCAATATAAATAATGTACTGTAAGTCAACTATAAAATGTACAATGTACTGTAAAAAATCAACTATTTTTTCATTAGTAATTTCCATTGCTGATGAGAAATTAAGTAGCCCATTTGGACATCAAGGTGACTCTTATAGGCAAGAGCTCCTTTCAAAACATTTTTAGTAATTCTATTTCCATTTTTGGAAGTCTATCCTTAAAAACATCTAAATCCAAAAATAGCTTTGCTCAAAGCTATTGCATTATCCATAGTCACAAATAAAAGAAGTTCAGCATTAGTCATAACCACAAGAAACTGGACGTAACCCAAATGTCCAATGGTAGGTGAATGCTTCGTAAATTGGGATATAGCAACTCATAATACTGGACAACAATGAAAAAGAAATTTTAAGTAGAGTTTTAATATGGAAAAGATCATTCTCAATGTTAAATGGAAAAAATAGGATATACCTTGTTTGACTGCTTAATACTATGTGGTGAGTAACAGACTCAGTTTCTCATCCATAAAACAGTAAGTAACAACAGTTATCTTCTTTATCAGGTTTTTGACCATTAAGTGGAATTAGGTACATAAAGTGCTTAGCCAAGTGACTAGCAAATAGTAAATGCTCCATAAATTATAGTTTCTATTTCTTAAACATGAGATATAACCTTGGATTTAAAGAGTCATCAGCACAAGACTTTAAGCCAAAATCTAAATTTAGAGTGAAACCTGGAAAGAAATAGGTCAAAAGTGAGGGTCATATCTGTAAGTATTCAATTATGGGTCTAATTTGATTCAATTATTATTTTCTCTCCTTTTTACTTTTTTTGTATTTTGGAGTTTCTCCCCTTGGATATCACTATGACTTTTATAATGGATGAAAAGGCCAGTTTTTTTAAACTAATAATTTAGTTTAATGGAATATTACTCAGTAATAAAAAAGAATATAATATTGCCATTTGCAGAACATGGATGGACCTAGAGAACATTATACTTGGTGAAGTAAATCAGACAAAGACAAATATTATACACTACCACTTGTATGTGGGATCTAAAAATAATACAAATGAATCTATATACAAACAGAAACAGACTCACAGACATAGAAGACAAACTTCTGGTTACAGAGGGGAAAGGGACAGGAGGTGGGATAAATTGGGAGTATAGGATTCACAGACACAAACTACCATATATAAAATAGATCAGCAGCAAGGATTTACTGTGTAGCACAGGGAACTATATTCAACATCTTATTAGAACATATAATGAAAAATATTCTAAAATATATATGTATATACCATATATAACTGAATCCCTTTTACTGTACACCTAAAGCTAATGCAATATTGTAAATCAACTACACTTCAATTAAATAAATAATTCAGTTTGTAATCCTTTCCAGAAAGAAATACAGTAAGTCACTAAAATTTGGAGAGAATTTACAGACATTAAATTTGGCTTTCCTGGACCAAAAGTGCATGAATGGCCAGTGAGAACGTCAGGTTGCCATTGCTTCCCACCCAGCCCCAGCTCCCCAGTCTCCCCATGTTGTTGTTGTTGAGACCGTGCTAGGCCACATCTGAACCAAACCGGGTGCTTATAAAACTGTTTACCCGGCCTCTCTTCTTATGTTTTGTTTCTTGCGTTCTTTTCTCCAGCAATCAGAGAACTGCAAAGACAGATTTTCCATAAAGAGCCAAGTTTTTATACAACCAAAAGCCTGATTCATCTTGCTTGACTTAATGAATACCCGAATGGAGTTTTATTTTTAAATTCTCAAAAAACCCTGTTCTCTCTCCTTGAGTCAGCACTTAGTGGCTTAAAAAAAAAAAGTTTTTTCTATTCCTCAGGTTAAAAGTTAATCAAAGAAAGGAAAAGAACCTACCAGCAGTTTTTCCCCTAGGGACATGGAAGTCTGTAATTTGGATGGCTAAGTGTGTGTGTTCATTCTTTTGTACATACACCAACATGTGTGACACATGGGTGCCTGGGGAGGGAAGGGAACGGAGCCT